TTACATAAGCCCCCAGCCATCACTAAACTGCCAGGCTGGGCTTGGCTGAGAAAGCAATTTTCTCTTCTTTCTTTTTCTTTGCCTTTTCTGCCTTTTGATATACACCTTTCAGATCTCTTGTGACTGACCAAACTGAACCCATCATCCAAAGGACCTTCATGCTCAGACTGAGCTTCTTTCCAGGGACTTCAGAGGGGGAACTTAGGGGGAAGTTGTTTCACTTGTTCCTGGTTGATGTTCCTGGAAGGCATCCAGCAGACAGATGGAGATCCTCTCGGTAACACATGCACAAGGTCTGGCTGACCTGTTGGGGAAGAGTCTCTGAAGGTCCCAGGACTCCAGGCAGGCTTGAGACTCTCCCCTCAGTCAGGGCTGGCAGTGACTTCAGAGTGGAGCCACCTTTATTTTTTATTGTCCCCAAAGGCAGGACAGGTTCTCAGCTATCTGCAAACAAGGAGCTTCACTGGAAACACACCTTTAAAGGGAATTTCCAAACTGATGGGATAAGGCACAGTTCCTGGTGTTTATCATCACCATGCCTTGCTTCTTGCTCTAGTCCCTTGTTTCTGGTTTCCCCAGGTTTGAGAAGTGTCTACATTCTCCTATCACACTATCCACTACAAGCTGATTAACTTGGTCACTATTAGCCCATGGGCTGGTTTGGGAGACTGGCCCATCACTCATTTCACATGGCCTAAGATGGGCCAAAGTATACTAGACTGTGACCAGTGTCCCCCAGGCAAGGTTTTTGCACCAGTCCTCCACAAAAACGTGGTCCTGACTCTGTCCCCCAGCTGGATCTCCCCCCATTTCCTCATTTTGCAACTCTGCAAAGGGCTTGCTGCACGTTGTGTCTTCTCTTGGCCCACCACCTTCCCACACTCAGGTTATTTTATTTCTGCTTCTGAGCTCAGCTCTGTTTTTGCATGGTCCCTGTGTCTCTTGCTTTACATATGCTGGGTGTGTGTGTTACTTTCTGAGGTGGAAGTTCTCTTTTCTTGTCCCCTTGTGAGCCACAGCACTGCTCTGACAGGACTGACCATCTTCTCACCACTGCCTGCTAACTGGCTCAGTGCTCTGCTGCATCATTTAAAACCTTGGCACATTCCTCAGCCCTCTCAGGGCATCTTTGGCTTCCCATTAAACACAGAGATATCATTCCTGGCTCAGGAAGTCTCTGCCCTGCAGGCCACCAGGACCTGGGAGACTGGCTTAGGAAGCTTGCATTGTGTCCATGTTTGTCTGCTCCTCCCAAAGCATCTCCTCCAGGACTCCAGGACTCCAGCTCAGATTTTTATCTGCTTACCTTTCCCTTTTTCCCTGATCTCAATCTGGTCATCCCCTTACTGAAAAATCCATTATTAGGTCAATGTCCAATTTCCCCTGGTTGAATACCTTGTTATTCCACCAAAATAATCCTTCAGCTGAATTCTCTTTGTCCCCCACTTTGTGGCACACAGCTGGCAGGCTTTGTCTAATTTGATGGTTGATTCTAGTCAAACAGCCAGACTAGATAATTTAATCTCTTTTCCTGAAGGCAAGTGCTCACTGACATAAGAGCTGACCCCAACAAATGGGCTCCTAGGCTTCCCATTTCAGAGCCATTCCCTCATGCCGTGGTTATGGATTGAGCTGAACAAGGTGCATTTTCCTCTCCCAGGTGCATTTTCCTCAAACACCGTGGCTTTTGCCCTGGTTCAGCTGGGACATAGTCTGATTCCTTTCTCCTGGAGACTGGAAATGCTGGTGGTTGATGGTGGTAGGCTGTGTGCTGGCCAGCTTGTGTGCAGCAGGAGGCTGTTTTTTTCCTGCAGCAACCTGCAAGCCTTTTATATCCTTTTCTCATTGATTTTCTCAATTTCTTAACTCTTTGCTGCAGTTCATCTTGGCTTATAAATTGACCAAAGCTTTTGTTGTGCCTCTTATTTTCTGGAAAACATTATTTTGCATGATATTTATGCTGCTGCTCACCTCTTTGATCCATCCTGCCTTCTTAAACTGGGAATCTTCCAGAAGAATTTAGCACTCTCCCTGGACATTGAAGTCTTTTATCCTTGTCTCCAGGTGACCTCTTATAAAACTCTTAGAAGTTTCCAGATGTTGCTTGAACTCTTTTTGCAGTGTCCAGCTGTCTCGGCTCATGTTTTGAGTCTTTGGTAATTTTCAATTTCCGTTCCCACTTGGTTCCAGAGGAATCCCAGAATTAGGACTTCTCCTAGAAGCTGAGTCTCACCCTCGACATTCTTTCCATAATTTGAAGATCTGCAGGTTGTTCCAGAGAGGATGAAGCTGGCAAAGAAATGCTCCAGAAATGTTCCAGGTGTTCCACAAGGCGGTTGCTCCTGAAATGCTCACTGTCCCCCCCACCCTGTGTGTTAGTTACAGAAACCATGGAAAGCCCTGCTGTCCTGCCCATGGGAGGATTCACCTGCAGGGAACTGTCTCTTCTTTCAGAGTTCAACCTCCTTTTTTGTCAGCACTCCCCCAGAAGGTCTCCGGTTCAGGGTGCTTTAGTTCAGGGTTAAGCTCCTTTTACTTGAGCTGTTTTCTTGATACTTTTTCAAGGACCAGTCCAGTGAGGAGGAGGGATATTTCATGCTGAGGAGGGATATTTCATGCCTGTTTCTCTCCACTGACTAACAAGAGAGCCCACTGCTCTTCCTTAGATGTCCAGCATGGATGACTGACATGGGGCAACCAATATGTCCTTGATGAGCAACTTTCCCTTGCAGTCTGTGGTCCTCCTTCCCGAGGGAGCTGCTCTGTAGTCCAGGCTTACCCAAGGTAATGTCCCAGGGGAGATTTAGGTTGGACATTAGGAAAAAGTTCTTCCCTCAGAGGGTGGTTGAGCCCTGGAACAGGCTCTCCAGGGAAGTGACCACAGCTTCAAGACTCACAGAGCTCAAGAAGCATTTGGACAATGCTTTCAGGCACTTGGTAGGATTGTCGGATTGTCCTGTGCAGAGTCTGCAGCTGGACTCCAGGATCCTTGTGGGTCCCTTCCAGCTCAGAATATTTTATGGCTCTGTGAACATTTGTGTAATATTCTATGACATCTGTGTAACAACTTGCTTTCCACAGCAGATTCTCCCACCCACCTCTGCAGCAGTCCACGAGCCTCCCCTTTTGACCCCCCACTCCTATAACCTATATGCACGTGGCACAAATGTATGTGGGGTTTTTTTTGTCCCCGGTTTTGCTTCGGACAGTGTGGAAATGCCATCAAGTTAACAGGGAGAGAGCTGTACAAGCCCGCAGTGCCGCTTGCTGCTTGCCAAGCAGGAGCCTCAAACACCTCATCAGAGCCTTCGCTGCTCCTAAAACCTCATTCGCACTTTGCAGACGGGCAGTGCGGTTCGGCAGCCCCCCCTCTCCCCGCACACAAAAATCACGAGTTACCCTTCTGGCCACAATACCTGTAAGGCACGGTCGTTAGACAGGAATGATGTGAGGTTCACGTCTCTATTTTGGCAGGGGGCGTGTTTCGTGTTTATTGGGGTAATTCCCCCGCCTCCCCCAGCAGCCCGGATTCTGTGGGAGCCCGACTTTGGAGGTCACGCACCTCCAGGAGCCGGAGCCCGCGGAAGGGAGGGAGCAGAACTAAACCAAGTGAAAAGCAAGCGGTCAGCGCTGGCGGCGGGGATAAACACATCGCTATGGATCGCCTCAGCTGACACTTCCCGCCGGGAATACCGGAGAGAAAGCCGCCAGCCCGGCGCTGAGAGGGGGTGGTGGTGCCGGGGGT